CACACACACACACACACACACACAACAACACACACACACACACACACACACACACACAACACTATTACAAAAAAAGTAATTTTTAAAAGACGATGGTATTAAGATTTACTCCTTTTGTAATAAAGAGTTCGGGATACATAAATACACACATTAATATAAATTAATCTTTAATATATAAAAATCAACTATCTTTGGTCTAGAGGTATTTGAACTATGATATTTGTACATGTTACTATAATAAATTATAATTAGCATTTTACTAAAATATAATTAATAACCTACACAGGGTACAACTCTTGACACTACTGTCACTATATATATATATCTCTATGCTAAAACAATAAAATTTTAAATAACATTTTTATAATAATAAATTACAATCAACTGCCTCTCACGGGCACGAAGTCAGTCACACGACACTGTTCAGTGTACACTACAACCAGGCCATCTTCAGTGTCCCACGACACCCTTTTCATCTCAGTGTTCCACTACGGTCCTGTGCATATCTCAGTGTTCCACTCCATCGTACGTCCCTCAGTGTCACACTACGGTCCTGGCCCAGTTCAGTGTAACACTCCAACCTTTTCTTCATGTAATGTCCCACTAAACAGCATCTGACGACTCCGGCCCACAGTTGATCAACGTAGACGGTGAGTCCACAGACATCACCGGTTAGTCCAGTAAATCCTCTCCAAAGGCGGTTGACACACCGCTAGCCGAACACTATGCTGCAAGCTCACTGAATGCGGCCGTCAAGTAACTGAGGCCAACAGACTCAGTGAGCTGCGGTGAGCGGTTCTTCTAACGCCAGTAGATAGGTACGATTCGGTGGTCAGGTACCTACTGCATAGAGGTGTACCCTGAGGAGTTCAGGTACTTAATGTTGAAGCCAGTAGACGTGTACCCTTCGGTGGTCAGGTACCTACTGCTCAGGTGTGTACAGCGAGGCGCTCAGGTACATAATATTTCTAAAGCCAGTAGACGTGTACCCTTCGGTGGTCAGGTACCTACTGCTTAGGTGTGTACAGCGAGGCGCTCTGGTACATACTGTTACTAAAGCCAGTAAACGTGTACCCTTCGGTGGTCAGGTACCTACTGCTTAGGTGTGTACAGCGAGGCGCTTGGTACATACTGTTACTAAAGCCAGTAGACGTGTACCCTTCGGTGGTCAGGTACCTACTGCTTAGGTGTGTACAGCGAGGCGCTCTGGTACATACTGTTACTAAAGCCAGTAGACGTGTACCTTCGGTGGTCAGGTACCTACTGCTTAGGTGTGTACAGCGTGGCGACTCAGGTACATTATATTTCTAAGCCAGTGACGTGTACCCTTCGGTGGTTGGTACCTACTGCCCTAGGTGTGTACAGCCCAGGCGGGTCAGGTACTAATATTTCAAACCAGTAGCGTGTCCTTCGGGGTCAGGTACCTACTGCCCTAGGTGTGACAGCGAGGCGCTCTGGTACATACTGTTACTAACGCCAGTAGACGTGTACCCTTCGTGGTCAGGTAACCTAAATGCTTATGTGGGTACAGCGAGGCGCTCAGGTACATAATATTTCTAAAGCCCAGTAGACGTGTACCCTTCGTGGTCAGGTACCTACTGCTTAGGTGTGTACAGCGAGGCGCTCTGTACATTACTGTTACTAAAGCCAGTAGACGGTACCCTTCGGTGGTCAGGTACCTACTGCTTATGGTGTACACGAGGCGCTCAGGTACATAATATTTCTAAAGCCAGTAGACGTGTACCCTTCGGTGGTCAGGTACCTACTGCTTAGGTGTTGTACAGCGAGGCGCTCTGGACATACTGTTACTAAAGCCAGTAGCACGTGTACCCTTCGGTGGTCAGGTACCTACTGCTTAGGTGTGTACCGTGAGGCACTCAGGCTCTTACTGCTGCGGTGCGTACCGTAAGGCGCTCAGGTACATACTGTTACTAAAGCCAGTAGACGTGTACCCTTCGGTGGTCAGGTACCTACTGCTTAGGTGTGTACCGTGAGCACTCAGGCTCTAGCTCTAAGGCCGGCCTCAGCAGCCCCCACATTGGGTTTGATGACGCACCCAGTGGTACTGCCGGCCGGCAGGTTAACTATTTAACCGCTAGTTTGGCAGGGGCCGCAACACCCCCACCACAAAAGGACCGACACACAAAGATCAATGTAATATGTATCCCGAACCGTCATCCCGGATATGATCGTCCAGAAATCATTCTAGATAATCATTATCCTCCCGGACAGGCCCCCATATATTACAAAAAAAGTAATTTTTAAAAGACGATGGTATTAAGATTTACTCCTTTTGTAATAAAGAGTTCGGGATACATAAATACACACATTAATATAAATTAATCTTTAATATATAAAAATCAACTATCTTGGTCTAGAGGTATTTGAACTATGTATTTGTACATGTTACTATAATAATTATAATTAGCATTTTCTATAAATATAATTAATAACCCTAACAGGGTACAACTCTTGACACTACTGTCACTATATATATATA